TAGGAACAGAGGTGAAGCAGAGGTAGACTTCCTTTAAGACTTGTTCCAGATGAGTTCTGGGTTGAAATCTGATATATGAGTAATTTGAGAGCTCTGGTGGCCTAATGCCTAAGACATTTGACCACTGACCAGAAGGCTGGTGGGTTTACCACCAGCCATCCTCAGAAGGAAGATTGGGCAATCTACTTCCATATTGACACAGCCTTGAATCCAACTTGAAGGCAGTGAGTTTGGTCTTTTTGGTTTCTCCTGCCTGCCTGGTGTTTGTGTGTGTGTGTGTGTGTGAATCTTTCAGGTGTTTTTATTTACAGTTTCTAGTATTGTATTAGAACAATTATCTGCATATAAAGATATGAGACATGACAAATTATCAAAGTGAAAAAAAAGAAGATAAGAGAAGGTAGATAGATGCACAAAAGAAAAAGACATTGGAGTTAACTAACATATTACTTCATGATCAGTGTATTCTAGCTCGGAGGATTTTTGTTTTCTTTATGTTGAGACATAATCAATACTGAAGGCTCTAGTCTTTGTTCTTTATCAGAGAGCTTAAAGCCCTCTTTGCTTTCAGCAAGCAAGGTTATGCCATCTGCGTTTCATAGGTTTTTAATGAGTCTTCCTCCAATCCCGATGTTACCTTCTCCATATGGCAAGCTTCTTGGGTTTTTTTGCTCAACATACAGATTGGATAAGTATGATGAATGGATATAACTCTGACACACTCTTTTCTGATTTTAAACCATTGTTTTAAACCAAGTATCCCTTTGTTCTGAATGACTGCCTCTTGATCTATGTATAGGTTCCACATGAGCACACTTAAGTGTTCTGGAATTTCTATTCTTTGCAATGTTATCCATAATTTACTATGATCCACACAGTCAAATGCCTTTGTGTGGTCAATAAAACATAAGTAAGCATCTAGAATTCTTTGCTTTCAGCCGATTTCCACTTCATATCCAATGCTATCCCTCATTACATGTTCTCTTCTGAATCTGGCTTGAGTTTCTGGCAGTTCCCTGTTGATGTACTGCTACAACCATTTTTGAGTTACCTTCAGCAGAATTTTACTCATGTGTTGTATTAATTATATTATTCAATAATTTCCACATACTTTTGGATCACCTTTCTTCGGCATGGGCACAAATATGGGTCTTTTCCAGTCCATTGACCAGGTAGCTGTCTTCCAATTTTCTTGGCGTAGATGGATGGATGAGCACCTTCAGTGCTGCATCTGCTTGTCAAAACATTTGAATTTATATTCCGTCAATTACTGGAGGCTTCTTTTTGCCCAATGCCTTCAATGCAGCTTGGACATCTTCTTTCAATATGTCAGTTCTTGATCATATGCTACCTCCTGAAACGGTTGATTGTCAATCAATTCCTTTTGGTACAGTGCTTCTGTATATTCCTTCCACCTTCTTTTGAAGTTTCCAGTGTCATTCAATATTTTGCCCATGTTGTTGTTGTTTTTAGGT